ATTAATATTAACTCAAACCTGTGCTTTCATATTTTCTTAGTTTTTACCGAATGTCTTTTTTCTGTTCCAGGATCCCATCCAGGACACAACATTGCATTGAGTCCTCACATCTCCTTAGGTTCCTCTTGGCTGTGACCGTTTGTCAGACTTTCCTTATTTTTGATGACCTTGACAATTTTGAGGAGCATTGGTCAAGTATTTTGCAGAGTGTCCCTCAATTGGGATTTGTCTGATATTTTTCTCATGATTAGACTGGGCTTGATGATTTGGGGGAGGAAGACACAGGTAAAGTGTTGCTCTCATCACATATCAAAGTTACATACTATCAACATGACCTCTGTCACTGCTGTTGTTAACCTTGATCATCTGGCTGAAGTTACTCTTTTTCTACCTTTGCATGCTGTATCTTCTGGAAGGAAATCACAATGTGCAGCCCACAATTAAGGAGCAGGGATTTATACACACACACACACCCTGAGGATGGAGTATCTGTAGAAATTACTTGAAATTTTTCTGCATGGGAGATTTACCTATTCCATCCCACTTATGGATTCATGGATATGTATACAGGCAGTCCCCGGGTTATGGATGACCTGACTTACAATGTTCCACACTTACAAACGGGTTCCCAAGGCTCCCCATAAAGATAATTTATAATTAAATAATTAATAATTCAGACACTAGCTTCTTCCACGCAGTTTGCTGGCACAGCATCCTTATGCTAATAGTCTCATTGTTTATATGGTCGCTGATGCACAGCATCACTTTCATCTTAGCTTTTTATTTGATGATGGAAACGAAACTAGAAATAAGCTTTTGGAGAAAGGCCAGATGCCGTCATTCACTGGGAAAGCATTAGGCTTCAGTTGCTTGACTGTCGGAACGATTATAAAGGATAAAGTGAGAATAGTGGAACATGTGAAAGGCAGTGCTCCAATGAAAGCATCAGTTATTCCTAACCAACATAGTGGATTAATTATTGAAATGCAAAGGTTGTTATTGATTTGGTTAGAAGTTCAAAATAAGTGTAACATTCATATTAGCCTACCTAGTGTTGATGCAACATTAGATGTTAACCTTTAATATTCTTTTTTGAAATTTCTCCTATCTAAACTTTTTGTATGAGTTTGTTTTTATGTTCTATTTGTTTAAATTAAGAGAAAGAGCACATTTTCTGTAACTTATTATAGAACAAGAGTATTATCATTACAATATTATACTGTATTATTATTACCACATATGAGCCATTATAGTATTGTTATCAATTATTATTACCATATATACGCTGTTCATCAGGGATCCGAGTTATATACAAATCCAACCTAAAGACATTCTCAGGAACGCATCTTGTCTATTACCCAGGGACCACCTGTATTACACTTTGGGTTACAATCCAATACTACTTTATTTTGTTGCTCAAATTGTTCCAGCTTTGGCCATTGGGTGCTCATGTGTCCTTTCCACACGTCCCCACTATTGTATGTTTTGTTTTATTTTGTTTTTGAGTACTTTCTTACTTTCTGGCACTACAGATGCCCCAAGCTCATCTTGTATATTTTAAATACCTGTTTTTATAACTGATGTGATGTATTAGAATTAATTACCATTTCATAACTTAGGACCTAGAACAAATTAGTTCACTTGGAGAGGGTAAAAATAGATGCTAAATAAAAATTC